TATTATTATTATTATTATTATTATTATTATTATTATTATTATTATTATTATTATTATTATTATTATTATTATTATTATTATTATTATTATTATTATTATTATTATTATTATTATTATTATTATTTATTATTATTATTATTATTATTATTATTATTATTATTATTATTATTATTATTATTATTATTATTATTATTATTATTATTATTATTATTATTATTATTATTATTATTATTATTATCATTGTTATTATTATCTCTTACCTTGTAGAAACCGACCGGAATGAGTAATTGCTGAAGCTGTTCCGTAGGGATTGAGAGTAAATTATCAACTGTACATCCGTGTTCTCGTAATCGCTGCAAATTAAACGTATCAAACATAATTTACAAATATTTCATTTAAACATATCTTATTTACGCAATTCATAATCAATTAAGAACGTATGTATTAGATAAACTCATTTTTATAATCTCCTAAATTCAACCTTAATATATAACAATAATCTATTGCCTTCTATCGCTTTTAAAACAACGGACATACAAGTACATCTCTCTGGACATATGCATAAATAGGCATTATAGGGAGAATTATACACGTAAGTACATATGTATACACGTATAATATACATCCAACTATTACAGTGGTCTTTCAAAACATATGCTAACGTATGCTGTGAATTACGACTTACATGCATTGCAGCAGCAGTTATATGATCTTTTGTTTGACTTGATAACATCAACGACAATAATGTTTGAAAACGAAATACCTAAAAAGAAAAAAAGAAATTAAGCAAAAAAAACATTTTGGACATTAGTATTATTCAAAGCACACTTTAATGTATCCTCTCGGGGGTAATCCCTAGAATATTTTGACAAACATAAAATGAAATTTAAGTGGAATTCAATTTTAGCCTCATCAGAATTCCAAAATTACATTCAAAAATACAACTCTTCAGTAGTACAACCAGATAAGATAACATGTCATATAATGTTATGTGTCTAGTTCGTTAAAAAAAAAATTGCTACATAAGCATACAAAGTAGTTGTTTCGTATTCATCGTGTAACGTGCTTTAACGTATGAACAAC